AACGAAAAATTTAAAAAATAATATAAGCAAAATATCTCAGATTTAAGAGAATTTGCTTTTAGTTTTTAATAATTTTCTTTATGAAGAATTATTTATAAATTTATAGAAAAATTTATTTCTAATTTAAATTTTTTTTTTTTTTTAATATTTAAGAGACTTTATAAAAAAATGATTTGTTGCTTTTTATTTGGATTCATTATTATTTGTTCTATTCATTATTATTTGTTCTATATAAAGAAAAATTATAGAAAAAATTAATTTATTATTTAAATTTAAATTTCTTTAAATATTTTGTAATTTATGTTAGCTATTCGAACTCTTAGTTTTTCTTTCTTGGACATAAATAATTATAAAAAGACAATAAAGACATTAAAAAGTTTTAGGGTATGGGAACAACACAAAAATCCGATCCATTCACAGCCACCACAAAAATCCACTCTAATTATTTGCAGGGTATATATATATGAAGAAAAAAAGGAGGCGTTAGCTTAAAGCCGCCCTAATTGCGCAACAATGGTGAGCTCTAAGCCAAGCCAAGAGCCCGCTCGGGGGGAGCTCTTGTTTGTGTTGATCTCTCTTGCGCTCAATGTTGTTTGGCAAAATATGCGATCATTTCCGTGGGGCAAAACGAAAGCGAGACAGTTCACGGAAATGAAGCAGCAATTAAGAGGCATATGGACAAGCCTCGGCCCAGCCTCGGCCAGCTCTTGGATCTGAGCCACACATAGCAAAAAGTGCGCTTGACCACTTGAACTTTACATTACCGAAGGGCCAAAATGGAAAAATACCAAAAAAAGAAAATTCCAAATGCAGCGCGTCAAGTGTTTCGCCTGATTCGACAGAAAAAAAAGAAAAGAAACAAAAAAAAAAAGCAACAGCAGCTCTTACAACGAAAGACAAAATATTATGTATTTAATGTACATAAATAGATAAATATGTTTTTTATTTCTGTGGAAATCTGCGCGTTCATCTGAAGGCAAACAAAAAGCATAGAAAAATCAAAATCAAAAGAGACACAAGAGACAAAAGCCGCGCGACCTTCGTCAAGCGGCCGCGGCGGCTGTTGCATTACAGTTTTTTTCTCTTCTGCTGCTTCGTTTTGTCAGCGCTGCAAGTGGGCGTGGCTGCAATTAATTTGATTGCAGCTATAAATAGCTAAGGCTTGCGCGTCGTCTGCTCGCCACGCCCACAAGCAAAGGCGATGCTTGGAATGCGCCTAATCGATGCAAAAATCACCCCAAAAACTTGTTCTAAGCTTAAGTAAGAGGGAGCGAGAGAGAGAGAGGGGCATAGAGAGGCAAATGCAGTTGGGTTGAGTGCCAGCCTGCTTTGCCTGCCTGCTCGCCTTCCAGCTTTCTAGCTTGGCCTTTCCCGTCTGCTCCTCATGCTCGCCTTCCAGCTTTCTAGCTTGGCCTTCCCGTCTGCTCCTACTGCTCGCCTTCCAGCTTTCCAGCCTGCTTGCCTGCCTGCCTTGGACCACCATCAATGGCCGCGCTCTGCTCTCTGCTCTGCGCTGCTCGGGCAGATGGAGTCATGTCTAATAACTGGAACTAAAGCACACGTCGCAACGGCATGAGGCACGGCCATAGAGCAATTAGCGTTTGCTCACAGAACGCCACAACAACAACAAGAAGAAGCTGAAGAAAAAATGTAACAAATACGCGCGCGGCATATGCATTGTAGGTAAGTAAAAAATAAAAAATAAAAAATTGGCCCGCAGCGCTGAGTAGTTCAATAACCTGCCAATGGAACTATCGATAAACATGCCTGCCCTCTATCGTCCCCCCTCTCTCTCTCTCAAGTTCAAAATTCGCAACATGCAAAAAAAAAAGCAGATGATTAATCAACGCATTCTCTTTACTCCCGCAACTTTCCAGTCAAAAGCGCTAAACAATAAGAAGAGGCTCAGTGTGTGTATGTGTGTGTGTATGTGCGTGTGTGTGTGTGAATGCGAGTATTTTTCACTGCATAGTGATAAGGTCGAAGCTGTTCCAATTCACATAGTTCAAGTGCCCTTCGCCCCAGCTCCCCTCCCCCCGTCCAGCCATAGACATTCACTTCGTCGCATTTCTTCTGTTTCTTCTATGTGTTTCTATTCTCTTCCATAACCCATTTACTTTGTCTACTCACTCGCTCTCTCTCTCTCTCTCTCTCTCTCTCTCTCTCTCTCTATCTCACTCACTTTGTGGTTCGTGCAACGCTTGGAGGCAACATTTAATTGATCGGATTCACTTTGATTGATCGGATCGTCGCTGTTGATAATGGTACCGTTAATTTGGTAAATTATTTTGCATTTAGAAGCAAGAGCAATCCGTTTTCGAATTGATTATTGGGTTCGTAATGATCATCGGGCATGATGCCATAGCGCGGCCCTGTTCTACAATAAACTCTATAATTCAGTTAAAGGTTAATGGGTGACGGCCAGACATACATAGACATGTGTATGTCTGTCCATAAAAAACTATAGCAAATGGAACTGAACTGGAATCGTGCTTACAGCTGGTGGCCAAAGAATGTGTGTGAATGCGAGAGAGAACGAGAGCGAAATAGAGATAGCGATAGAGTTAGAATGTGAGCTGTGAGAAGTAGTGATAGGCAACGTCGAAAAGATATTCTATAGAAACTTAAGAATGTGCGTTATAATCGAATTTCTAAAAATAAATATTATTTTAGCCAAAAAAAAAGAGAAGAAAAAGTTTTACAGTTCTTACAGATGATATCATCTGCTAGGAGATGAAAGCAAACCAAATGTATTAATATTATAATATCTGAGCTAAGCTAGAAGAGAAATGCTTGAATAGGCCAGACGAAATTTTAATTATTTGAGAAATAAATAAAGGTATTTTATTTTATTCAGATGACAATGGAGCCTTAAGAACACATACATTTATAGGAAATATATAATCCTTCATACCTTCAACAACTCTTTTTTAGTCAAGTATTAAAATATGATTTCCAGATTTATTCATCAATATTTTTCAATCTCACAATCATTGTAGCTCTCGTCTGCTATCCTCTTGTTATCCTTTCCCCTTCAATTATACATACCATGCAATCTATAAACTCCAATCTATCCCTTTTTATCTCAACCTCATCTAGATTCTTCCACCTCAACCAATTCGCATTTCCATAATACATACAGTCCATCTCTTTGATATATAATAACTAAAGCCAACCTCAATTAATCGAATACCCATAAATATGTATTCCCATCTGCTGGGAAGCTACTCATCCATTGAGAAGACATGACATGACATGCCAAGACAAAAACAACATTTCTACGGTTTCATTCATTATCTCTCGCTGTCATTTCATAATAACGATCCTTTGCATGAGACATGCGAATAAACCGCAATGCTCCATTCAAAATCTCCCTCTGAGTGAGCCCCCCTTCCCTCCCCACCACTTCCCATCCTCCTCATCATTCCTTCAAAAGTACCGTTTTGTCGCCTGAGTGACACAGTATCGTGATTTCGAAAACGAAAACCGAAAAATCGAAAATCGAAAATGCGAGCATCGGGTTAAGCAACACGCAAATGGAGGTCAAACTCATAATTCAATTAGGAACCTGCAGCGGTGTCAATGCAGGCCGTGCCATGCCGTGCCATGCCGTGCCGTGCCGTGCCTCAAAAACGAATTCCGACCCACTGTGCGTGGGCCAAAACAAAAGAGACAGAGAGAAAGAGGGAGAGATAGAGATAAAAAGGAATTATACATATATTTTCCGCTTCCATTTTTTTTTTGTTTTTTAACTTTTTTTTTGCCGGCCATGTAAATCGACATCGACGACGATCAAAGTTAAATTTCTGTTTGTTTAAGCCTTCACTTTTGCCGTGGCAGCAGACTGAAGAGCGGAGAGCGGAGAGTGGAGAGCGAAGACCGGAGAACGGAGACTAAAAACTGTGGAACTGTGGGCCCGAGCGTGAGTCAGCGACTGAACGATTGGAATTCTGCGCGCTTTGAGGATTTATTAACAAGAATAATAAAAAAAGAAAAAAATACCGAAACAGAAACAGAAACAAATGCAGACAGAGCGAGCAGAGCGATGAAGCCAAAGTCGAAGCCGGCAGCGGCAAACCGGTTGGCAAAGTTTTTTTCTCTTAAGTTGTTGGCAATACCCTGTAGCTGATGGCTGGACGAGGAGTGGCTATGATGAGCACAGGAGCATATGTAAAGAGCATTAGAATCTCTTCTAAATATTTTTTTTTGATTTATTTAATAGTATTTGGCAGTATAATAACATATTATAGAAAACTTGGAAGCATATTAAAATCATGGCGAAACAGCTATCGACAATAAATAAAATCCTTTACAATCTATCGATGGGTTCTAGATTGTATCGATTCAAAAGCTATTTTTAAAGAAGAATTCAAAATAATATAGAAAACATGAAACACGAAAAAAAAAATTAACAAAAAAGTATCGATAATCATGCAATCGATTACAAGTGGATCGATTATATTTTCAATAGATATAACATATGTATATACATTATATGTATCGATTACATTTATAATATATACACATGATATATATAATCGTTCCTTAAGAAGTAGTCTCAATAATTTGTTGTATATTTTGACAATTATACAGCTCATTCGCTTAGGTAAAGGCATGTCGATGTGGCTATCGATAATAGTGCGCACTAAAAACTAACGATTCCTACATAGCCAACTGAATTGTAAACTCAACAGCAATTCCTAAAAAGACTATATAAAATGAAAGTAGAAAACCCACAATATGTCACTACCCATCGATAGGTCTATAATATATCGATAGTTACACAAGCAATCGTTCATTATTTCTCATGGAATCACAAGTCTACTCTAAGGCAATTTAGCCAAATGTATAGCTTAAGATATTCCATTACAGGGTATCATTGTTGTCTAGGCTAGCCAACCTCCATAGAGCCCACTTCATTTAAGTACCTTGTTTTTTTTTTTGGTATTTTTTATGTCTTTGGCTTAAAGTTTGATTATTTCTTTTTGGGCAACTCTTACCTGTATGGAGCCGGCAACTGATGCGGAACTAAAGCTGGCATTGCTGGCCGCATCCGAAACATTGAGGGGCGTAAATTGCTGTTGCCTACGCTGCGATTGCAATTGCAACTGTGACGGCGACGGTGACTGTGACTGTGACTGCGATTGTGATTGTGATTGGGTTAGCGAGGCATCCTTGGAGTTGTTCTTAAGTGCGGGCAGCAACAACTTGGACAGTTTGTCGGTTTGTCCATTGCTGTTGTTGTTGCTGCTGATGTTGATGTTGCTGTTGCTGTTGTGATTGTTGTTGTGATTGTTGTTGTTGGAGTTACTGATGTTGCTGTTGTGATTGCCATTGGCGTTGTCCATTTTGTTGCTATCCAAAGGCATTGTCACAGTTGCTGTTGTAGCTGTTGCTGTTGTTGTTGCTGTTAACGTTGCTGTTGCTGTTGCTGTTGCTACTATTGCTGTCGTCGTGGCTGAGCTCTGCTGATGATTTCCGTTTTCTTGATGATTTCGCATTTTCATTTAGATAATTGCTGCTGCTGGGATTATCTACTGCTGCTGCTGCTGCTTCTACTCCTCCTCCGCCTCCTCCACTTTGTCGTTTTTCTTTCTTTCCTTTGCTTTGCTTTGTAGTTTTCGTTTCGTTTATGTTTGAAAATTGTTTTTTTAACACCTTGTTGCCAGCATTTTAGGGCGACGCTACAACAACACAAGAAATTATATATAAACAATTGGCACATAAATCAACAAACAAAAATAGTTGTAATCATAATGATGATATTATTATTATTATTATTATATATTATATATTATGCAAGACACATTTCACTTTTCATTTTAATTTTCTGTGTTTTTTTTTTTTTTTTGTTAAATGATTATTTCTCATTTTTTGGCTGGCGACATATTTTATTGCTGTTGCTGTTGTTGCTGTTGCTGCTGTTGTTGCTGCTGTTGCTGTTGCACTTTTTCTTATCGCTGTCTGTTGCGCATCTTTGGAATGCAGCTTCGTAGAGCCAACAAAATTGAATCGATTGCTTTGGCCAAGTTATTTATTGTTGCTGCTGCCGCTGCTGTTGCTGTTGCTGTTGCTGCTGCTGCTGTTGTTGTTATTTGTGTAATATGCGCGCCTCTTATTATGTTTGCTTTTGCTGCAGTTTGTGTGAAAAGTGAACCAGGTTTACATAACATTGACCCAAGAGGGCAGCAGCCCAAAAACCTTCTGCTAAGCCAATAAACAAGTTTTCACACACACACGCACACTCACACATATTTTCAAATGCGATTTGTTTTTGCCTGCTCTGTGTTGCCCACGCAGCAGCAAAAACCTCCTCAACTTGTTCATTTCAGTTTCAGTTTATGTCATCTGGTTTCTATGGTTTCCATATGCAAATCGCAGCGACGCCCAGCTGCAACGTCAAAACTTCAAGTGTTTAATGCATAATTATGAGAAGAGAAAATCCACTCCCCCCCCCACCACCCCTTTTGATTCTTTTTTTTTGCTCGAATAGAAATCCAGTTTCTGTTGCAGTTGACAAAACTGACTGCGCTCCAGAGTCTCAGCGGCCAGTTAGAAGAGAGCGCCTCGACTGTTTCTTGCCTTCCATCTATTTCTTTTTGTGGGGGCAAAGTACGCGCAGAGTGTGCGAGAGGGAGAGAGAGGGAGAGAGATAAATCTGCGACATACGATTGCCTGACTGCCAGTTAGCCAGGCTAACAGCGGCGAGTCTAGCTGCCTTCAAGTGCATTGACATTGCCAATGCTGGCGGCAACTGTTGCTCCTGTGCTGTGTGCGTGAAAGCTGCTGCCCAAAAACAGGCAACAGCCTACAGGCAACAGACAACAGACAACAGCAGCAGCAGCAGCAGCAGCAACAACAACAACAGCTAGGTTAATTATGGCCAAAGGCAGCAGCTGAGCTTCTGCCACGCAGCCAAGATTTGGCCTATAACTGATTTTATGTCAGGCTACCCTGTAGCCCATTGTGAGAGGGGTATGCTGTGTTTGTTTGGGGAGTGAATAATGCTAAGGCATTGAATAATGAATGCTAAGGCATTTAATATTAATTTATTAATATTTTATGGACAGGGTTTATTGAAGATTTCAGGTAGGTAGACTATGTAGCCCTTAGTAGATCAAATTTAGAGTTTTTAATAGATTTATTTACTACAAAATCTAAGCAATTGACATTGAATGATGCTAAAGCATTTAATATTAATTTCTTAATATTTTAGAGTATCTAAATTTAGTTTAAAATAATAAATATATTAAAATTTAAATCTGTTTAAATCTATAAATCTGTATCAAATTCTTCTGTGTAACGCAGACCTAAGCTAGGAGCAAATGGAATTCAGATTGTCAATCCTGAGATTTACTTCCGATAGCAGGAAATGGAATGAAATATTTGAAGTATACGAAAAGAAAGTTCCTCAATTTATAAATAAAATACTTCTAAGCTAATTAAATATGAATTGATCTCTACATAAAGGCCCAGTCGTACTATTACTACTACTACTTCATCAGCTCATCCGTAATCTCTTATGCATACGAATATCTCGCACACTTTCTAAGCTAGAATTACCAAATTTGATATACATATTATGCAAAAGTAATGCTAGTTCCAGAAATTTTTACTTTTTGAATAACGCCCTAAATAGAACCAACTTCTACCAGGCATCCTGTAGCCGAGCATTGCCTATTAACGCATTTTAATTATATTTTTCTGGTTGTTTCTTTTTGTTTTTTTTTTTTTTTTAACTTTAGTTTTTTATTGCGCTAAAAGCGAAATTAGACACTTTTGACTGCTAAAATGCAAAATGACATTTTTGGTTTGTCTTTTGTTTTTGTATTTCTTTCTTTTTTCTCAGTTTTCTTATTTTTTTTTTTTTTTTTTTTTGGTCAATCGTGAAAAATGCGGAAAAACATGGCCAAAACACTGGCGCCAGCGAAATGGGCACAGTTAACAGCTGCAGACAAGCTCTTCGAGCACCCCAAGCCGGCGTAGACCCCCTTTGCCACGCCCAGGCGAACAAGTTTATGTGTGTGTGTGTGCTTATTGGTAGATATCAGGTAGTCCAATAAATTCCACAAAACAAGCGAGGTCACAAACAGGCTCTAATCAGATGACGGCGAGTATATTACATAGACAGACAGCTCTCGCTTCAGCTCCCCTCTCTCTCTCTCTCTCAGATCCTAAACAGGAATTTCTTATAATAGATGCGATTTAAATATGCGTTTAGCCATACAGTATTTACTGTGGGAATGAAGAACCAGACGAGCCGAGCCGAGCCGAGTCAGATAGCAATCATATCGCTATTATTCACAATTAAGATTCTCAATCTTGATGCGGAATATTTAAATAGTTCGATTTAAGGCAAACGTTTTATGGTGTTATGTTTGACGCAAGCATAAATTATTATCTATCTAACAGAAATTGACATTTCGGCGTGAATAGGTGATTGATGAGTCGACGAAATCTTAATACAATGTAAGATAATACAAAGCAAGACATGGATATGGATAGATCTTTTTTGAGGAATATTTCAAATGAAAGGAAAGTGAAGCAAATAATTAGAAACCATTTGAGGAACTTCAGAAGGTATACAAAATTCAGTGTATATATATAATATTTAATCTAAGTTAAAAAGAACAAATTAAAGAAATATATAGTCAAATTGTTTATAATTGCCATATAAACAATTTTAAAATATTTTTTAATAATTGCCTGTGCTTACTACATTCACAAATGTATAAATGGTTAATGCTTTTTTGACATTAAAATACCGGAAATAAATTGTTTAAGAAATAATAATTTCTTCTGCTTGCATGTCAACAAAAACAATTTTCCGCGTTGTTTAAAAAATTCTTTTCGAAAAGGCGCCGAAAGAGCGGATCATTTATGTAGTCTCTAGAACGACTGAAAACAGATCTCATAGATCATTAGATCATTATTTGGCGAGTAAAATATTGCGCTCAGAGATTTATAAAATATTAAAAAAAAATCAAGAGGAAAATACATCCATCCAAAAAAAATAATTATTGTAATAAATAAATACATATGAAATAAATAATAAATAAATGTATATAATTTATGAATACTTTGCCAATATATAAAGCTAATGAATTAGCTATAAGGTATTTTCAATGCAAGTCTAATCAAATAACTAAAAGAAAAACTAAGCAACAAAGAATAAATTAAAAAAAAAAAAAACAACAGTAAAAAATTTGTTTTTTTTTTCTATAATTTTTTTCTTTATTTTCCAACGCTATCTACTGCATCTACAGATCCCAATCTGGCGTACCAAGAATTCTCGCTAGCAATTTACTTATTTTCACAGCAGCTCAGCTCGGCTGGGCTCAGAGAGTTTTGTTTTGTTTTTGTTTTTTTCTCCTCGTTCGAGTACTTGAAGGTAGTTAATACCCGACTTTATGGCATTAACACCCATGTCATTTCCACAGTCGCTTATCAGCGAAACAATTTTCAGCTATGCCAGGGTTGTCGCCGTTTGCAAAAACTCAAATAAAAGAGTTGTCTGCGAGATTAAGTTGCCCGATAAAGTTGAGAGTGCTCTGTGGCTGTGGCTGTCCCTGAACTGTGACTGTCATAAATTCTGTTCAAATGGCCGCAGTCTCTCAACTGCTACTAACAAGCGTAACAAACTACTTGACAACAACAGCAACAACAACAACAACAACAGCAGCAACAACAACATGAATGAAACTGTTTTACCTGCTCGCTTATGCTGTGATTAGCTTTTACCTGAACGCTGCCAGCTCTACGATCTCTGCCAGCGGCTCTCAGTGTGTTTGCATTTAGCTGCAAGGCTTTGGCTCTCGCTGTGCGATTCATTATAATTTTTGTCGATTCTCACAGGTAGCAAGCAGCAGCTGACAAAAGGCGAAGCTAGCGCAGATCGCATGGCGCTGCGGCATTCACACAGCAACAAGACGCATAAATTTACAATTAAATTTAATTCGTTCGCTCGGATTTCCGCAAACATCTACAGAAAAGGGCTTTGCGGAGCAACAGCAATCAACAATTGTTGTTGCCACCAACTCTTGTGGCAGGCAGCAGCAAGTTCAACGTTTGCTTTACTGCGCGCTGCGCTTCACTTGCAGCAGCAGCAGCAGCAGCAGCAGCAGCAGCAGCGGCGGCAGCGGCAGCAACTGCAAGCAAAAAATGCTGTGAATGCGCTTCTTGGTAACTGACAGCAAACACCCGCAACACACACACACACACACACATAGACCCTCACTCGCACCTACACCTTGGCATTATTTATGCCACATGCCACAGCCACAGCCTCAGTCCCAGCCACAGCCACAGCCTCAGTTCCAGCCTTCGCTGCGATCTTTCCAACTACCTAAACACGCTCGTATTTCGCTATCAAAAATCTTCCTTTCGGATATACCCTGCTATTGTTACTCAGCTGCTTCTTCTTCTTCTTTGGAAATATGTTTACTTCCGCCATTTGTGAGCGCACAGGATGTGAAGGTCGTTGGTGGCAAGGTCATTAACGCTTATCAAATCGAGCGCGAGATGAGATGAAATGAAAACGAAACGAAAAGCAGAACACTCACTAAATGTGTGTGTGTGCACGTGTGTGTGTGTGTGTCACAAATATTTGCACAGCACATTCCAAGCACTTTGGCAAAAAGCAAATACAAATTGTAAAACCATCAACGGGAGCAGAACAAACGAG